ACATCGTATATAGATGGAAAACCTTTGTACCTCACATCGCAGCAGCGTGCGAACATTCGAGAGCGACGAGGTGCGACAAAAAATGTTACTAAAGCCCGATCGTGGGCGTTCGTGGGCGTTCCTATAGCACGACCAAGAACAGCGCGCGATTGGTGCAATACCCCACCCCATATTTGCGATGCTCGTCGAGATGGAACCTCAAGTTCCTGAAAGCACAGTTTGATTCGGATGACCGACCAGTCTCTCTCCCACGGGAAGTTAATAACGCGCCTACTCCATAAGTAATGCCGAACGGCGCTACCGGCGCAGCCGAGGAAGCGGAGGCACAATTCCCGAAGCACCATCGGTTCTGGCGGAAGTGCAGTCACCGGTCTCACGCGCAAGCAGAACCCATTGGTGAGAGCTTGGTGTACCTGGCGAGACATTGTGCTGAGTGCGCCCGATCGTCGGGTGGATGGTATATGTGGGTAATCTCATACAGAATGAGGGAATATGGAGTCTCACATGCCACGGTTGCCTATGCCATGCACGCTTTCACAGTGCTGCCCTCGGGAGAAATCGATGTTCTCGGTGCCCAAGTTAGTGATACGATGATCATCGATGAAACAGATATATATAACCAATGGATCTCATTCCTTAAACCTGACGCCTCACACGGCGCAGACGTTGATGAGGAAAACGGGAACCGAGTCATTAATGTAGACAGCTGGAAGGGCAACCAAGCCCATTCCACTGTTCTTCGTGCGTGCCAGGGACACTCTTGCTTTGCTCGCGACATTGAGCGGATGTTCCTTAAGAGTTTGGGATGGCGCGATGTCACGGACATTTGTTGCACACTGCGTCCATAAGGGGCCATAAAAGCATCGACTCTTGGAAATGGCATTATCAAATACCCAAATAAGCACGCGTGACTTTGCAAATCGCCAGGTTACGATCTTTTCAGATTGATGCCAACGAGGCATGAATTTCGTCCAGAGCATGCTCACCTCACTGGCTCAGCCCGCGGAAGGATGGTGCGCTCCACCTATCAGGGCGTGCCAGGCTGAGGGCGTTGTTTCTGTTGGCGGTGGATTTCCCATTGATGGACGATGGCCTCAAACAGTTTCTCCCTTTTTCATGGGAAATTGAGGCCGCGCGCAATCCGGATTGGTCATAGCTTTAATGGGAGAGTATTGTCTCGCCTTCGATATCGCGTCTGTCGCGATGGGACTCTCGTGGCGACAGGCAACGCACGTTTTAACTGTATTTCTCGGATCGTACAACTGTCAGCGATTCGTCGGGTAGACGCAAACCAAAAACTGCAGATGCTGTGGACATTCATATTTTCCCAAGGTTAGTCTTTGTGGGAAGTTGCCTTCTCGCCTGATACAATCAGGGCGTGGGTTTTGTTCTGATGAGGACGTAGAAGAACCGGGCGATCTTCTCTTTCTAATGAAGAACAGGACCGCGTAATGCAGAAACTCGTGGATTGATGACGGCAGATACATGTGTGCCTACTGCCGCGCTGTAAGAGCAGGTTTGGGATCTTGCCTGCGTTGCCACGTCGTGGTCAATTACAAATTGAATGTCAGAGCAAATTATTTGCAGGAACTGGCTGAGCAGGCGCTGTCTGCCGCCTGGGCGCCCCTGGGCCTCCAGCCGCGTCTGGGCCCCCCCCCCGGCGGGAGATAACCGGTCCAATATCATCTATAATAGGTTAAGAGCAGAGTATAAAAAATCTGATGCCTTAGACAATCTAACCAGGGTGGAACGGCATCAACGCACATGGGCTCTAGATGATCTGGCCCGTGAGAAGATGGCGCCGGCTGGAGGATCATGCGCTGCTTCAGTGCCAGGGGCTGTTCCTTCATGGTACCCCAGCAGCGCCTCGGCACAGTCGCCGGCGCCGCATGAACCTTTCTTTCAGTTTTTTGAACCCTTGGAATTTAGATTTCTTGATTGGTTGGTTCACAAGCATGGGGAAAATCATCGCCCCACTGATGCCCAATGGTGGCCATGTATCTGGACGCCCGACCTTGACCAATATGCTCGCCCCGTGAAATGTTGTGCGCTTGCTGCGTTCGATTGGGATCATGCTAGCGCAGATATTGCACAGTGGGAAAAGGAAATGAACGAGAGAGGAGGTGTTACCCAAACGCTGCAAATATTAACCAGCAATTTTAGAGCGTTGAACCCAGCATTCGCAGCAACCACCCTTGGAGATATTGATTTTCCAATTGTTGTTGATCTTCGCCTCCAGTCAAGCCGCAGCGACGACGCGATTTTACAGCGCGAAAAGAAAGTTGACGCGCCGAGCGGTAATTCCAACACGTACATTGCACAGCGTCACGAGATGACTCTTGCAGATCGGGATCTGCCCTCATGGCTTGATGTAGTCTCCATTTCGGAGTGCGTGGGTGGTTTCAAACACAACAACAACACATGAAATGTCAGATGTCATCAAAGTTGCAAGACAGCTTGTTCTTGAGTACCTAACGATTGATCAGAATGCGAAGCAGTTGGATCCAGACGTGATCCATGACGTACCTCCAGGACTAGGAGAGCTTATAGACAAAATTTGTGATCAGCCATTCAACCGCATCCCCGCCCACGGAAAGTGGGGGGCAATTTCTATTAGCTGTACGCGAGATGATATTATCATTCATGTCTGCGGGAATATGCGTTACCTTTCCCGGGTACGAAATCCAGCGCACTCCGACATTTGATGAATCAAGGGGTGTGGGGGGCTTATGCTCTGGATTGTCGAATCCGATCAGCAATCGAAGCGTTCGATTTCCTTGATAACTGGCTTGAAGGCTCTGGAACTTCGGTTTCCAAGACCGCACGAGATAAGTATGCCAAAAGTCATGGCGCACCACAGTGTCAACACTCGCATTGCTATTGACCTTGTTGGAGATTTCAATGCCGACGACGCTATCGGAATCATCGGTCTCCTTAGTAGGACGAGAGCGGAAAACGGCACAGCCGCTTCTTCCACCGAGACGGCTCACGCTGAGTCGCCGGCGGGTGGCTTGACTTCTGTAGCTGACAATGCCGCTGCGCAGGGACCTGGGCAACATTCTCAGCCATCTCCGAGACCCAAGGCAATGCGCGAGGACATCTTATCGCGCTGCTCCTTGTCCGCATGCGTCTGCCGGCGCAGCCGCGCCAGGCCGCGAGACTAAATGGGGTTGATCCAGGCAGAGTTCGATCCTGGGCCGGCGAACCTAGGATTGAGAGATACACGCCGCAAACACCGGCGGTTGCGCCAGGTGGCGGATCTTCCCTCGATGGCCGCGGCGCTGGGCCGCTCATGGACGGCATCTGGGACGCGACCGTCGGTTGCGAAGATAAAGATGAAATTGGAGACATGCAAGGATGCAGTGTACATGTTTCTCGACAGCAGACAGTTATGGGCCGCAGTAACGTGCGACATGGCATTAAGCTTGATGACTGCAATGAGAAGTTTCGCCGATCTTCTGGATCGCAGAAATTTGCGAGCGCCCGCGCCTCCGCCAGCGCCGAAGGCGAGCTCGTCGGAGAAGGGCTTGGGCAATAATGATCACTGCGAATGGAGTCCATCGAGCGACTGGAGCACAAGAAGAGAATGGCAATGGGAGATTTCTTGGGAGTCAAGAGACCGTTGGAGAAGATGAATGTGAATATGACAGGATTCGGCACGACACAGTCGGAGCCGAATCGTACTACTTCGTGGAGCGGATGCACCGGGTGCACACAGGCATTGAGACCTGGGTTGAGAATAATATCGCAGGCGGGAAACGTAGGGTTTCTCTGGCCTTTTGCCCCCAGGCACCCACCGTCGAGCGGTAAAACTTTTCTTTTGGGGTTCGTTCCGGCGGTTGTGCATGCGTGCAGGCCTGGTGGGTAGGGGCCGGGGCGGCTCTACGCATCCCGCCGCGGGGGAAGTCAATGCACCCCTTCGCGCCGCCTGGTTCCTGCCCTTCTTACCCGCACTTGCTTTGCTTGCACTGTCCGCTTCTCTTGTTGAGTTGGATATTACCTGAAGCTGTTTGGCTCAGCTGCGCCAGAAAAGGGGCGTGCTGGCTTGCGCGCGCGCCGAGGTGTCTCCCCCCCGTCGTCGTCGCGTCGTCGGCCGGCTGGCCTCCTCCCCTCAGGGTTCACGTGTTGCATGCTTAACGGCATTATCCTTTCTTGCCCATGTCTTCTGCGAAGCCCATTGACTATGGGACATCATCGGGACGTATTGCGAGGAAAACGAATATCCTGGCAAAGGATTGTAGGATGATAGTGATGGTGAGGATGAGGAGGAGAAGGAGGAGGAAAAGGAGGAGGAGGAGGAGGAGGAGGAAGAGGAGGAAGAGAGACGCGGGGCGCCGTCTTTCCAGAACGAGGGCCCAACGCCACAGGATGACTGGGAATTACATAGGAGGTCCGAGAGCCCACGTCACGAAACAATATGGACTGGTATGAGCACGTTTCGGACCCCCTCCTTGCGAAGGAAGAAGCGGGGGAGGGTTGAGGAGTGGTTTTGTGTTCTCGGGCATTACCCGATGTTCGCTGGAGCAGGGGGCAGGTCCCAATATCACTGGAGCTGTGCGTCATGGGAATTTTAACGAGCTCGCTTCTTTGGATTCGGCCATCAGTGGGGCCGAGGAGAGTCTAGAAAGGGCATTATCCCGCGAGGAGTTGCATGGTTGACCTCTGCACCTCGGCGGACACCGGCGGCAGGCCCGCGGAAACCTGCGGAACTAAATCGTGCATGGCGTTGCCGGCCGAAGTTCAGGTTTCATCACCCGGTATGAAATGTGAATGTAGTTGGCGTGCTTGCCCAGGGTCTGGAGGCTGCAGGCGTCGAGTGGGCTTGCTCCGACAAAAAGGCGTCTCTTCGGGATGCGCGCTCGTCCCCATACATAGGGCGGTTCGATTTCCCGCGACAGGGGCCGCTGGGGCTGTCGACCCCTTCTCTTCCCAGGGCCATCCTGCGGCCCGTTCCCTTCGACCCTGAACGGCGAAATGCGGGCCGCCTCGATTTTCGCCAGGAGGCCGGCGTGTCCAGCCATCCCCTGACCATCAACGACGAGAGCGCGAAGCTTATCCGACACCAGCTCGGCTCCCCGCGCTGCGCCTGAGCGGCCTTTCGGGCTCGCGCGCGCGGCAAGGAGCTGGCGACCAGCTCAAAAGAAGGCGGAGGCGGAGGAGCCCAGATGTTCGGCGGCTTGGACAAGTTGGCGTCCAGCCCCCAGTTTTTTCGCACGCTTAGGGCTCTAGAGGCCGCTTTCGGGCCCTGGGACGGGACCGATCGGGACCGTCGAAACAAGTTTTCGGGCCGAAAACTTTGCCCGGGCAAGGTCCCGGAACCTGGGGGCACGTTTCGAGCAAGGCTCCGGTCGCCAGACTTCTGGCGGCGAGGAGTTTGGTGTTCTTCTCACGTGCTCTCTATGTGACGTCACCCGGCCTTCCTTGGCGTTGCGTGCTTCAGTGAGTTGGACGACGCTATGGCAGCAGGCCCCCCGCGTTTTCCCAGTCGAGGTGCTGGTCTTTTTCTGCTTCTTTAGGCTTGCGCATTGGGGGGTGATTCGATTGAACGCCACTCAGGGGGCAGGCCGCTGCCCTACCCAGGTCGCTTTGGTGAAAAAGTGGCGAGGTGTGAAGCCCGCGAACATTTTAGGTGGCCTAGTGGAAGCAGGAGAGGCAACGTACATAGCAAAGGGCGTGATAGAGGGACCCAGACAGCCCAAGAGGGCCCCAGCAACCGCCAAACAGACCAAGGAGGGCCCCCAGGGGCATTGAAAGCATTCCAAAAGAGCAGCCCAAGGTGTCGAAAGCGGCGGGTGAGGGTAGAAAGGCGAAGCAGGGGTGAAACAAAGCTTCGAGAGATGAATAGTTTGGGCTGCTCAGAAGGATATCCGGGGACCCTTTGGTTTGGGGCGTTACAGGCGGATCAAAAAGGCGCCAGAAGGCCACCCAGACAGCCCAAGATTGCTCCAAGGAGCTTTCTCAACGGCCTAAGAGGTCCCCAAGATGTTCACGAGAGGCTCCAAGCCCAAGAGGGGGCCAAGAGGCCTCCAATACAGCCCAAGAGGGCCTCCAGAGAGATCCAGACGGCGTCCGAAAGCATGCGGAAGCCTCCGGCGCGAAGGCGTGCTTGTCTCGGGGGCGAAGTGGCGGTCAGCGGACGCCCATTGTGCACCCATGGTGTGGGGCTGGCGTTCTGCTCGGGTCGCGGGGAGGATCCCAGGAGGGGCGTATGCCTGCAGGAAGGGGTAAGCACGAGAGGATTGAGAGGAATCGAGAAAAATCATCCATGACAGAACCGCGCGGCGGATCGCTTCACGTACCCCGCCGGCCCATGTCGTACCGTTGCCATCTGCTTGTGTGATCGTGGCGAGTGCGAAGTTGTTTGTTGGTGGCATATTCCCCAACAGTCAGTTCGCGCGTGGGCGGAGTAAGCTCTCGGCAGATTGAGGGCAACACTCAGCAGAAGACGTCACCACCCAGGTTCCACCACCGACGCCCGAAAACACCAGAAGGGAATAGTCATGGAATGCATGACGACATGCAGGTTGTGCTGAGCCCCTTCGTGGGCTGCAGGAGTCCCTCTGGGGTTTCTCGGGGTTCCTGGCGGGCTCTCAGGGGCTTGTTGGGGCCTGCCACCAATTGAACCCCGCTCTTGGGCAGTTCTTGGTCCTTCTTGGGACCCTCTCGGAGACCTCTTGGGGTGTTCTGTAGCGCTGGGAACATCTCGGAGTCATCTTGAGGCCTCTGAAGCGCATCGGGAGCGAAATGGCGAGAAACTCAACATTGACGGTTTTACGTGTTTTCGATGTTGATTTTTGGGGGGGCATTTTTGGGAGGTTATAGGAAACACATTTGAAGGATATCCGGCGGTCTGGAAATCAGTGGTAATGTCGGCGGATCCTGGAAGCGTCAGTGGTAATCCCTCCCTCTCATTCTTCCAGACCTTCCGACCTGCGCGGCAGGTGAGGAAGGTGATGCGTGTCTTGAAATGTCTTTGGATGTCTTGGAATGTCTTGAATGTCTTTGGATGTCTGTGAATGTCTTTGCTTGTGTTCGTAACTCTTGGTAATTATATGTGATGTTGTGTTACTGATGAGTTGGTTTTGATAATATTTGTTGGTACGTGGCGATGACGATGGTGGTAATGATGATGGTGCTGATGATGGGAATCATGATGGTGATGATGCTGATGGCGATGGCGGTGATGGTTACGATGGTGATGATGATGCTGCTGTTGCTGATGATGATGATAGCGACGATGATGCTGATGTGCATGCTGATGCTGTTCAGACCGATGATGACGATGATAGCGAAGATGATGATGCTTACAATGATGGTGGTGATGACGATGATGGTGATGATGCTGATGATGGTGATGATGGTGCTGATGGTGGTGATGGTGATCATGGTGATATGCCTGATGATATGCAGATGGTGGTGCTGATGATGATGGCGATGGTGCTTGCGATCACGATTATGATGATGATGTTGATGCTGATTATGATGGTAATGTCGATGACGACGATCAGACTAATGCTGATGACGATGATGACGATGGTGATGAGGGGGAGGAGGAGGGAGAGAGGATGGGGAGAAGGAGAGGGAGGAGGGATCGAGGGAGGGAAGAAGGGAAGGATCAGGATGCAAATGAGGATGGGGACGAGGACAGGGATGAGGATGAGGAAACCCACAGGGGCGCGAAGGTAACCATGCCTGCCCACCTCCTGTCATCCTCCCTCCCTCCCGCAGCTTCGGCTCGCGCCGCCTCGCCCGCGTCCCCCTCCTCGCCCTCGTCCTCGCCCTCGTCCTCCCCGCCCGCGGGATGGACTCCCCCGCCGTGCTGGTCGCGGCGCTGCGGCTGCGGCCAGCCAGCACGCCGCTGTGCAAGTGGACGAAGGCGGGCAAGAAGACAGGCCAGATGGGGAAACGCCGTACCGATGCCGATGCTCCCCGCTCACATCCGAACCTTCCGCAGGAAGGTGAGGAAGTGAGGGAGAAGCATCGGTATCGGTATTGTGTCTCTCCCCCCACTAGGGGGCTTGTGCGACTTCCTCCTGTCCAGCGGCTGGTGGAAGCCGCTCAAGTACATGCAGGACAGGCGGGCGAGCCTCCTCTGGGACCTCGACATGTGGGAGCAGGCCGTCCACGAGGCGCGAACGAGGAAGGAGAAGAGGAAGGAGGAAGGAGGGGAGCGATGCGGAGGAAAACGAGGAAGATGAGCCCCTCCCCCATTCCTAACATTACTTGTTTCGATACCTTCCGCGGAAGCCCGAAAGTATGGAAGGTGGCAGTGGATCCACTTTTAAGTGGATTCGCGTTCACCTTCCATACTTTCACCCCCCACCTCGAGGTGGAGGTGGAGGGCCCCATTGGGTTTCCATTATTTGGGGGGTGAGTGGAAAAAAGAAGAAGAGGAGGAGGCGGGAGGAGGAGTAGGGGGGGGGAGGAGGAGGAGGAGGAGGAAGAGGAGGAGGAGGAGGACGAGGAGAAAGAGGAGGAGGGGGAGGACGAGGCGGAAGATGAGGAGGAGGAAGACGAGGAGAGGCCGATGAGGTCGATGAGGACATGATGAAAGGAAGAGGCCGATGGTGCGGAAAAAAGGATGGACGATGAAGAACAGGTCGTGGAAAGGGGCACGGGGAACACCAGGAATGACAGGGCGAGCGCGTGGCGAGGAGGAGTGGGGGTGAGGAGGCGAGGAGGAGGAGGAGGCGAGGGCGAGTAGCATTAGCGCGGGGGGAGGGGGACAGGAGTCTGGAGGATCGAGGTGCGAGGATGAAGAGGACGAGGATGCATGGGAATGGGGGAGAGGATGAGGATAAGGAGTAGGGGGTGGCGGCCCAGGTTCTCCCGACGGCCGGCCCCGCCACGGTGTGCACCGTGGTGGCGGGCTGGCGGCGCACCAAGAGGCGCGACGATGCCGACGACGGCGACGATGACGAAGACGACGACGAATACGACGACGACGACGACGACGACGACGGCGACGGCGACAGCGGCGACGACGACGACATTGACGACGACGACGACGGCGGCGGCGAAGACGTCGATGACGGCGACGTCGACGACGACGACGTCGACGACAACGCCGTCGACGATGACGGCGACGACGGCTCCGACGAGGCTCGGCTACAACGTCCCGCCCGAGCTCGACAAGCGCATGCGCCGCGCTGCAGAGCCGCAGAAGGAGACGGCCAAGAAGGCGGCCAAGGAGGCGGCCAAGAAGGCGGCCAAGGAGACGGCCAAGAGGCGCGCCGCCGAGCTGCAGAAGGTCGCGGCCTTCTGGCAAGGCTCGCACTCCGACGAGGACTCGCTGATGTCCGACGAGTCGGGCGCGCGAGGTGTAGAGGGAGGAGGAGGAGGAGGAGGAGGAGGAGGAGGAGGAGGAGGAGGGGGAGGAGGGGGAGGGGGGAGAAAGGAGGAGGAGGAGGAGGAGGAGGAGGAGGAGGAGGAGGAGGAGGAGGGGTGGGCTAAGGATAGGGACTAGGGGTAGGCGGGCTGAGGCTAAGGAGGAGGAGGGGTGGCCTGAGGAGGAGTAGGCGGGGTAGGACTAGGGATATGCGGCTGCCCTGGCCATGACACCTAGCACAGGGGGCAAGAGTAGGTGTAGGAGTAACGGTAGAAGTAGGAGGCAGCGGAGTGGTTGGGGTAGGGGTCGGAGCAGCGGTAGGAATAGAGGTAGAAGTAGGAGTGGGCGGTAAGAGTAGGGCAGGGGCAGACGAGGTAGAAGCAGGGGTGAGAATAGCAGGGGCAAGCGCGGGGGTAGGAATGCGCGGAGGAGTTAACGAACATACCAGCACCCTAACCCCATCCACACCCCCTAGCCTCCAACCCATAAGCATAACCACACACACCCTAGCCTCTCACCCCCATGCACACCCTAACCCATAACCACACCCTAGCCACACCCCAAACACCCTAGCGATCACCCAACCATAACCCCGGCACCCTAGACTTAACCGCGCCCCAACGGCCAGACCCTAACCCTGCTCACCCACCTCTAACCCTTACGACCCTGATTAAACCCTACACCGCGCTCCGACTCCGCACCCCCCCTAATCTATATATATAGAGAGAGAGAGAGAGAGAGAGAGAGAGAGAGAGAGAGAGA